TTAAATATAACTCAAAAAAGAAAATGTCTTTTCCTTACAACATGTGTAACTTGTCTAAAAGAGAACATAACTTTAAAATACTACTTCAATTATTCACTCCACTTATCATCGTCGGCACGTAATTGCTATGAGTCTTGTGAGTTGTGACATTGACAACACAGAAAGCTTGAAACGGAATGAAGAGTAAATCAAAATAAAAGAAACATTTGAAAGGAGAAGAGATTGATAGTCGGAGAGTGCTGGGTTGGGCATGCGCAAGATGTGATCCTTTACGAGCCATGTGTAGGCCTAGGCCCATTCTGGCTAAGCTTCTGATATAGTTAGACATGTTGTAAGTGGAGAAAAAGACTTGTTGTACGTACTTAATTATTTACAATCGTCATAATATTTGCACCAAATAACAAAACTATGTTTGTAATGTTACTATCAGTAGCGTCTTTGTAACATCACCATCAAGGATGGCAGGATGGGCACAAAAGTTCCAAAAGGTCATCGAGTTAAGGTTAATCAGAAAATGGTCGATGTTCCAAGTTCTAACACACTCATATCTTTATTTATTGAGCTCCACTTCTTTTGTCGCTATGCCTTCAAGGATGGGCCCAGAGATACGCTGAAGTCACACGATTCAAGGTCGAAATAGACAACCAAGAAGTGGTTGACGTTATAACAGCCACACAGTATATCTGTAGATGCTTCAAGTTCCACCACATCTTTCGAATCAGTACTTATGTAATCTGATTCCACCGATTTAAACTTTAAAAAGGTTATCCACGAAATGGTTCGGATACCCATTGCAGAATCATGTGTAATCAATTATCAATCAAAAGTAAATTTGGTAAACACATTATTATTGTGTTAACACTTAGTGTAGTGTACTAATGATACGAAACCACTAGATGTGGTTAAATATATAGCCAAATCTTATAAGCTTAAACGAAACTGGCATACTACAAGATGTTGTGTGAACTCTTTTTTTTTGCTACTCTAAAATTAACGGTTGATGTTTGAGTTGTCTATTTTCGCTTCCTTGTTTTTTAGTTTTTTTTTTTTTATAAAATAAATTGTAAGTTTGTTTGTCTTTACTCAGCTAGCATGTGAGTGTGATTCATTTTCTGATAGTAATTACATAATACGAGTTGTACTATCGTTTTTGTGGCTTCTGATTTTGATGAAATCAGAATGGTACTTGATTATCAATTTATTAATAACCTCGCACTCGCAGACTGCAGTTTCAATTGTTTGAAAAAAATATTAGAAACTGCCTCGCTTGGCGCGCTGATTTATAACACCTTTGTCTTTTAGTTAGTTTGGCACGTTATGACTTATGACTTGTGACAAAAGAAACAAAGAAAGAACTTGACTTCACTGAGTTTAATTAAATAAACCCATTTGTAACTATTGTGAATTTCCATTTCCAGATTGCATGGATTCGAATTCCCCCTTGTTGAAGGTTAAAAAGTGTTAATTTGCTCAGATTTAAATAGAGGACCACAAAGGAGAATCAAGAATAGAGATCCTATTTTCGTTCCAGCTTTTCAAAATATACATGTGCATGACCTGCATTCAACGAACTTAAAATGTTGATTCACTCCACTTATTGACGTTGCACGTTATTAACTATGACACTGGCAGCGTATAAACATGCCTCATTAAGTTATTGCATGTATAAAAAAAGAAAAAAGACAAAAAATATACTCGTGCCATGTTTGTTTTTTATTTCTTTTTTGTTGATGCCATATTGTGACGAAAATCCATTGTCATGTTATCGACGAGAACCTAATCAACACTTTATATTTTGGGATGTACTAGTATAACATAAATATAAGACTAGACTCCATAGTGCGCATTTAAATGAATTTATAAAAATCAGTATTTTAAAATTCAGACCGAACCGCGCTTGAATCGATAGTTCGGTAATTCAATTTTAATTGTAAAAATATTCATATTTAAAAAATTATTAAAACCCGAAATTAACCAATTGATCCGATGGATAACTTATATGTAATATTTAAACCTGTAAGAATAATTTTATTTTCATTGTATTATTATTATATGTATTATATATATTGTCTGAAGTTTTTAATTTATCTAAACAATTTGAAAGAAAATTTTGAGAAATTATTAAAAGGTGAGATCTAATATTTTGTATTGTTTAGACATAAGATTAATTACAGTGTTGTTTGGAAAAATGAATAGTAGTATAAAGAAATGAATATATTATTTGAGAACATGTATATTAGTATAAAGAAATAAATATATTGTTTGAAAACATAGATACTAATATAAAAAAGAAATATTAATGATTTAATGTAAATTTAGTTATAAGATAGAAAGATATATTTAATTTTAAAAACTTAGAAAATAAATGTTAAGTCCAATCTAATGTTTCTGATTTAATAAGATATATATCTTAATAATTAATATAAAATCTCGAGAAAATAGTTATAAATATTTATACACGTACGTATATATATATTTTGAAAATTTTGGTTGAGAAATTATTTTGAATTTGTTCATCATGATAGTGTGGACAGACAGCAAATAAAAATAAACCATACAATGACTCTCTTTTTTAAAGCAAAACTAAACAATGACTTCTTTTTTGAAACAAAACTAAACAATGACCTTTTGATTGGATTTTATTTCTGTATATAAACCAAACAAACCATAGCCTATAATCATCCAAAAAACAAAGAAAACATAAACACTCTGAAACCTAGCCAAAGAAAAGAAGAAAGAGAACAAAAAAAATGTTCTACTTCATCCTTCTCCCTCTTCTCCTCCTCCTCTTGGCTTACAAATTCCTCTTCCCCCAAAGGGAACGTTATAACCTCCCTCCTGGTCCACCGTCACGTCCCTTCGTCGGCCATCTCCACCTCATGAAACCACCGATCCACCGTCTCCTCCAACGCTACTCCGACAAATACGGCCCAATCTTCTCCCTCCGTTTCGGCTCCCGCCGCGTCGTGGTGATCACTTCACCTTCACTCGCTCAAGAAGCCTTCACCGGCCAAAACGACATCATCCTCTCTAGCCGGCCGCTCCAACTCACCGCCAAATACGTCGCTTACAACCACACGACCGTCGGAACAGCTCCTTACGGCGACCACTGGCGTAACCTCCGCCGCATCTGCTCCAACGAAATCCTCTCCACCAACCGTATCACCAACTTCCTCCACATCCGTAAAGATGAAATCCGCCGCATGCTCACGCGCCTCTCACGTGCCACGACTCACTCCCACGACGACTCTAGCCGTTTCACTCACGTCGAGCTCGAGCCGCTTCTCTCGGATCTGACGTTCAACAACATCGTTAGGATGGTCACGGGGAAGACGTACTACGGAGATGACGTGTACAACAAGGAAGAAGCAGAGCTTTTCAAGAAGCTGGTTTATGACATCGCCGTGTACAGCGGCGCGAATCACAAGGCGGATTATTTGCCGGTGTTGAAACTGTTCGGAAACAAGTTCGAGAAGGAAGTTAAAGCTCTCGGTAAAACCGTGGACGAGATTCTGCAGCGTTTGCTAGATGAGTGTAGGAGAGACAAAGATGGTAACACAATGGTTAATCACTTGATCTCATTACAACAACAAGAGCCTGAGTATTACACTGACGTCATCATCAAAGGACTAATGATGGTAATAAAATTGCAGACTTTTTCAATCTAATTAAAAAAGTTTTTATCAAGTTGAGAGATAATTAATCTAGTTTATAGTTTTCAAGAACATATATACAAGTTATAACAGTAAATAGTATGATATAACGTACTATATATTTATTTTATTTTTTTCCTTTCTAAATTTTGAATTTATCAAAAAAAAACGTACGAAATATTATTAGACAAAAAAAATCAAATTTTATAATAAAAAAAATAATCAGATTTTATAATATACATATAATAAATTTATATTATATCCAAATTAATTTATATTATATTATTAAAATTTTACAGAATTTATAAGTTAATTATAATGTTTTTCTAAAATTTTTTTTTAATGTTGCTTAATTAGAACACTGCTAATTAGTGAAATTACGCAGGCGATGATGCTGGCCGGGACCGAAACCTCCGCCGTAACCTTAGAATGGGCCATGACGAACCTAATCAAACATCCCGAAGTGTTGGAGAAGGCAAGATCAGAAATCGACGAGAAGATCGGGAAAGACCGCCTCATCGACGAGCCAGACGTCGCCGTCCTTCCTTATCTCCAAAACGTCGTCTCCGAAACATTCCGTCTCTTCCCGGTGGCGCCGTTCCTAATCCCGAGAAGACCGACGGAGGACATGAAGATCGGCGGTTACGACGTACCGCGCGACACGACGGTGCTGGTTAACGCTTGGGCTATACAGAGAGATCCGGAGTTTTGGGACGAACCGGAGCGGTTTAATCCGGACCGGTTTGATAACGGATGCGGAAGCGAGTTTTATGCTTATAAGCTGATGCCGTTTGGTAACGGCCGGAGGATATGTCCCGGCGCCGGATTAGGGAAGAGGATAGTGACGTTGGCGCTAGGATCGTTGATTCAGTGTTTTGAGTGGGAGAGTGTGAAAGGCGAAGAGATTGATATGTCGGAGAGTGCTGGGTTGGGTATGCGCAAGATGGATCCTTTACGGGCCATGTGTAGGCCCAGGCCCATTATGTCTAAACTTCTGGTCTAGTTTGAAGTCTCTAGGTGTTTTTGTTTTCACTTAAAAAAGGAAAAAGATTATGAAAGGGATTTTATTAATATTTCTGATTGATTTTTAATGTCTACTTTGTTAATTGTTAAAGGAATTTTAAGTTGTTGATCATAGTTCGACATTCGGATTATACTAAAATATTATTTTCAATATTATAATTAGGCTTGAATGTACATTTGCATCTAGACAAATTTATAATAAATAACTTATAGATTTATTGGTTTATTACAAACGATCTCAACATTTATTTTTGGCTAGATAATATATAATATTATGGGTATGAATCCCACAATTAATTTTATTCACTTGGCGAAACCTCCATATCAGTTTGAACCAGGCATAAAAGCATCAAAGACTTCATTTCGAGCTTTCAAATATTTCTGAAATAAAGAGACGGTTAAACTATTAAAATATATATGGTGTTTTCACATTAAAATAGAAAATACCAAAAACTTTTCTTTTTGATTAACGATGATGCTAATACTTAAGTTTAAGAGCCATTTTTGCGATATAATCAATGTACCTTCCGAGATCGGACTTTATCCAACGTCTCCTCGAGTAATTTCTCTTGATACTCAATGTCATCTCTTGTTGCCCACTGATTTGGAGGTTTTAAAAAGTACCTTATTTTGAAAATAAAATAGAATAACTAGCATTAAGGATATAGAAATGAATGATATCCGTATGTTTTAAAAATAAGATGAATACCCTAATTGTTGTTCCACTTTGGCCAATTCACAATGGTATTTGAAGATTTCATTTTCGATCTCCTATTTCGAGAGAATTAAATGGTTAAATTATAAACGAACGAATGGTTAAGTAAAAATCTTGCATAAAGTAGATTCTTTTATATAAAGTAGTTCCAAATAATTAGAAAAATGTGCATCCACATGCCTTTGATCGAGTTTGAGAACGAATAGCATCGCCAAAATCTTTTTGATACCTATTAAAATAAAATTAGATATATTTACTTATCATAAATAAAATCGATTTAAAGTAAATTTATTAACCTGACGTTCGGTTCAGGATAGTGTGATTCTAAACGCATGATATCTATCCATTGTCGTATATACTACATCGCCATACCAAAAAAAAAAAGCTTCAAATTAGATATAATGATAAAGATATTTTAATGTCCGAAACAATTATTTAAAATTTTATCAGAATATAAATAATCATGTAAAGTTAGTTTGATTATTGTGAAGATACTTACCGCTTCATCTGGGACTGGGAGCCTGCTAGTTGAGCCGGCCAATTACAATTCCAATAGGCCATGCGTACATAGATGTTTACTAAGTTAGCATAATAAAACCGGCTATTATTTTAAGTTCCTTGATGCATTAACACAATAAATTTACCTTGGACGTATGGGCATATCCATATACTTCTTTATAGTCTCTTCCATCCTATTATAGATTTAACAACATACTAAAATCGATTGGGACGAAAAATTGAAAGAATAGGGAAGATTTGATATCAAAACCCACTTTTCATATAATATAAGAATTACAAGAAAATAAATGAGATTTAAACAAAGTTTCAATAAAGAAACAATACCTTGTTTTTGTATCAAAAATGAAAAGTTTACCAGCAGGTGAGAACATAATGAGAACCATTTGAACATCACATAGAATAAATAGTTCATAAGCTTTTTTAAGAAGCCCGTTTTTTCTTTTGGCAAATGTAATGTTTCTTCGATGTCTACTGGCTATTTTTCTCATCGGTATTTTGACTCTCCCCATTTTTTTCTTTAGATTTTACAATCCTATTATAGCGTTTTTATTTATTTATTCATTCCTATTGCGTTTATAAGGTATTTATATAGTTTTGAGAAGCTTATATGTCCAAAAGCTTATAGATTGTTGCAGTAAATTGTAATTAATAATATTAATAACTTTTAATAAAATAAATTCATCTTTAATAAAGTTACTAATAATTTTCCTTCTTAGCCACACTTCATAACTCTTAGAAGGTGGTGGTTCAAAGGCAACCACATATTTTGTCATTTTACTGTAGTACCACAGATTTTGTAATTTTACAGTTGTACAAAAATTGTATATGTAATAATTGTGGATATACTAAAATAAATTTATGAATAGTAACTATTAATTATATGTTGTATATTTATTACATATAAAATATAAATTATATTATATACCAAACAAATAACTTATGATATAAAGTAGAAAAATTTCATAAAAATATCCCAACTAAATTTTATTTAATTTTGTAACACGTAAACATTTTTCTATCTAGTTTAATACTCAAAAAGATATTTTACATATTTTAATACATAAATATTTAATATCTAAATTGTTTTTATGTTAAGCAAAAAATATAAATAGGTTTCAAAAGAATTTAAATAATCTCTAACATTCAGTAAATTGTTTTTAAAAATATTAATTTTATATTAAACTTTAAGTCTTTCAATTTTTTTAAAAAATATTAATTTTATATTAATTTATCTCTTGATTCTCCTCACATACCATCAACAAGGCTGGATTTAGACCAAATAAAACATTAGTCTTGATACTCAAATTATTTTTGATAATTTTCACATGGGCTTAGACTTCTTAAAAATGTCTATGATCTCTAAATTTTCATATTCGGCCTAGACATCAATCCCCCTTAGTTGCATTTCAAAAATGTAGTCACTTTTGCATATACTATTTTACTGCTCAAATAGTTGAATAAATGAAAATGTAAACAACAATGTTGATGTTTAGATATATTATACTGCTAATGGTCCAAAGTGAATAAGACAAATAATTCGAACGAATTTAATTACTAGATAAGAAATGCGATTACTCAACATCAAATTAGATGATAGACAAACGATATGATTATTCCGAATCCAGTCTCATGTCTCTCCATTTTTAATAGTTAAGAGTGTTTTTTAAAAAATGTTCCTTATAATAATTTTTATAAAAAATATTATTAAAAAAAATATGAAATTTAAAGTTTTAAATTCTTAATATATTGTGGTCTATAAATTTATAAAGCTAATCAAGAATGTGATATTAATTAGGGTTTTGTCCAGTGGCCAGAAGGAATCCAACATTAGGACAAATATTTGGTAGTATAAATGTTGTGTACGATGATAATATATAGAAATAGACACACACATGACATTTACTGTCATAAAAAAAGAAAAAGTCAAAGACGACGTGGAGTGAAATGGACCCCACTTGTGATTTGGGAAGATAAACTCTCGACCATCGTTTGGGTTATTATGGTTTCTCCGTCGTGTTTCTCACAGATTCCGGAAAGGCCGAGTGAGCCTAATTGGTAATTTTAGGGTTTCTTTTTTTTGGCATCTGAAATGGTTTTTGTTTCATTCAACGATAAAAAAGCTCCAAACTTTCGTTAGGTTTTGGTGTCTTTCCAATTTTGGACATTTTCGTATCTGATGACTGTTAATGAAAAATGACGATTCTTTGGATTTTCTAGGGTAGAGATGAGTGATGATGATTCGATCAAGAACGTGTATGATGATGATGATGATGAAGAGGTTGTTGTTGATATATTGGAATGCTGTGATGACAAGATTGAAGTGTCGGAATGCAATGATGATGACACTGATGTGTGCTCTAATAGCTCCTTTAGTGGTACTGTTTCTCAACATGATCATGATGATGAGACTCAACAAACAACTTCTAATGATCAAGAAGCTGACTCCTCGATGATGTGTACTGATTCTGCTGCTTCTCTACCTTCCTTGGTGAGGTCAGTTCCATGAAGTATGGTATCTTCTTTCAAGGAAGTTTGAGATAAGATTTTGCTCTGTTATTGTGATTAGTTTTTGCAAATTATTTTACTTTATTATTATTTTTTTTTAATGGAAGAAAGAAGAAGCTGAGTGATCACTGGAGGAGGTTTATACACCCCATAACTTGGCGTTGCAAATGGCTTGAACTCAAAATCAGAGAGCTTCAGAGCCAAGCAGGGAAGTACGACAAAGAACTCCAAGAATCTTGGCAAGCCAAACAATTGGAGTTGGAAAATCTCAAATCAGAAGAACTTGGAGGAGTAAAGGCATTGTCTCGTCTACCATGTCATGCTATGAAAACCAGACTCAAGAAGAGGAGAAAGAGAAAGCGAGTTGAAGAAGATTCTGATGTTCCTTCCTATTCATTAAACCATAATCTCTTCTCTTATCACGGTATGTTCTTGTGGCCAAGCTCAGTGTTTATCTATCTGCCATTACTACTCTTAATACTTCATCTCATCATCTCTTTACAGAAAACCGAAAATCTTTTGGCGATGTTGCTCTCAATGATTATAACTCTCGCACCCTAGGAGGTCTGGTGTTCTGAAAACCTCATCTCTTTATAAAACCTTCGATCTTTACGAAATGTTTTCTTTTTTAATCATCAGATAGAAAGAATAAGAACTCTAAGGAAGAGGCAGTTTTCTGTGAGGAGGAGGAGGAGACATCGCCTTTTGAGTTTAGAGAAGGTGATGCGTTCTTGGAACAGATACTTTTAAAGATTGAAGCAGTAAAGCTACAAGCTCGTAACTTGAAGAACAGAGTAGAGAAGATGGTGAATGAGAATCCAAGTAGATTCTCTTTGGTTAACACATTGAATACGCTTGACTCGGAGCAACAAAACGAAGAAACACCAGTTAGTAAGCCTACTTCAGTTTCATCTCATCACAACGACACACAACCTGAAGATGATGACGGGACAACAGATATCTTATTGTCTGAAATGATGGCTTCAATTCAAAGAAAAGGGAAAGCTATTGTTCCCAATAAGAAGCTACAGAAGACAGAACAAGCATCACTTGTGGAAGGTTCATCAAGACCTGTAAGTTTCTGCAAAACCCATTCTAATAACTCCTTTACACCTTTTGTCCTCATATGCCTTCTTTTTTTAAACTCAATATGCAGGTAAGGATCAGAAAGCCACGCAATCTTGACGTGGAGGTAAAGGAAGAGACTAAGAGAAAGAGACGTAGAGTTTCAAAAGAGAAGCCGCTTAAGCGTCCCAACAGGCAGAGAAAGCGAGGGAAACGAAGGTCTGGATCAAGAAGAAGATCCTAAAATGCTTTGGGAAACTTCAATAAACAAGTCTGGTTTTGGGTTTAATAATTAAAATGTGTTTGCTCTAGGCATCCTTAACATCTAAATTGAACGGCAGCGTTTTGATTTTTCTTGTGATAAACTCGTCATCAAGTTATATAAGAGGAAGTAAGAATACTCAAATTAAAAAAAAACATTATTTCAAATACATTCTTCTTGAGAGTTTAGCAGAGACAATGGCCATAATGGTGACAGTAGGGACGAATATAACATCAGGTATGAGTTTGATGAATTTTAGCTGAGGAACATTCTCTCCTGCTCTCTTAGCCGCCATAGCCGCCGGAGGAGATGCTATTCCGGTCATCATAGTGACGTCATCGAGTTTACTTGGCTTCACTTTCTTTGCAATGAGTTCTGTGAACACTTTCTTCTTCTCTTCTTCGTCTTCAGTTTCTTTCCACCGCGTGAAACAAGCCTAAATTTACTCAACAATTGTGTTAAGAGATAATAGTTTTGAATAATTTTACGTGGAGAATTAAAGAATCTTCTTGCCTTTATTTCGTCAGGGGTCGGGAAATCAAAGTGTCGTCCTGGTAAAGCCGAGTTGAAGTTGCTACACTCATAACATATCAATGCATATACAGTTATGTTGTTGATCATATATTGATTTTGTAAAGAAAGATTTTGAGTAAATATTACTTGAAGATGTCTAAAACAGCAACGTGGAAATCGTCGAAGTTGTTGATAGCTTTCTTGGTGAATTGTTTGTAGAGTGAACCCATTACGATGTTCATCATCTGTGTCGGTGGTACCCCTATTCACCAAAACATACAAAAACTCATTATTTCTTTCTTTCTAATAAAATAAAAGAAAGGTTATATAATGAAATAGCTAGTTTTTATTTAGGTTAAAGAAATTCAAAACCTTTTCCAAGAAAGCCCATTGAACCCCCCATATTGATCGTAGAAGTTAGTCTTTAGAAGAGAACAGATATATTGTACGTTTCATGCATATTTGTATTTGATGTGTGGAGGAATCAGTTACTTGGCGTGGTGGATTTAAGTAGGTCTTTGCAAAGCCAAGTATCTCCGAATCTCATGCACAAGACCTTTGTTTAAGTATAACTTGTGCTTTCTAAAGGTTACAATTTTCGAAGAAAACTTTACTAATCGTGTTATTATTAATTAATTAATCACATGGCAAACTTTACAACAACAAAGGCATTTACTTAAAAGATGTTCTCTTTGGTCTTTTTGTAACGTTTTTTCTTTCCTGGACCGTCTTTTGTAACGTCTGTAAATGCTTTTAAGCCTTTGGAACTAACTTTGCTTGAAATTTGTGTTTACGTATTATTCTCTATGAGTATATTTCATTATTCAAAATCGAATAATGTACTTTTAATTAAAGTACGGGGAATGACTTGCACTTCTCACCCTCTTCTCTTTGTACTTTCAGTCATACGGTATTAGATGAAACTAACCAAAAGTGATCCACATTGATATATTATCAATATATATTACTGGGAGCAGATACATTTTTGAGATATGTTATCGTATACAGAATATCTTATTTCAATTTTTTTTTTTGATATTTATGGAAAAGGAACCATATAGTAGCGTTCCATTCAGCTAATTTAGGATAGCTAGATCACTGAGAACTTATAAAGGAAACAAATATTTGAAAGAAAAGGAAAACCAAGGATTTGATTGAAAAAAAGAATCTAATCAATCCTTCAATCATCCGAAACTTTTTAAAGTTAATGGAGCCAATGAACCCATCCTTATTAGATCCAGCTTGCATCCATATATATATTTAGTGTTATTCGTAACACTTTCAAATAGCCTGTACCTCAAAAAGTAATGCAATATAATCGGATTTGAGTATCACAGAACCATAGTTATTAGTAATAGATTTTCACAATCCAATTTTCATTTACTAAGACAAATAGATGCCAAAACTCGTAAAACTAACACTCATTGAGTAAATTAGTTTATGTACTCAGGAATATAAACATCTAAAAAGAGTTATTGGCATTGATTTGGTTATTAGTTCACATAAACATTAGGATAATTCCACAATTTATTACTTTGTTAGTTCTGCTTCAAGTTTGTATGGGTCTTTTCCAGTGAAGAAATCACCTATCACTAAAGATTATTGTTTGCCAAAACAAGAACAATCAATATGTCATAAGTTCATAACCATTATTTTATTTTAAGTGATGATACTGATAAATCTCAGTACTGTCAGTGATAATAACAGTATCATCACTCCGAGTTTTATTTTCTTAGTATTTATAAAAGTAATTATTTTCATACAAATGAAAATAAAGAAAACAAACGGTAATAATCAATTAAATAATAATACTCACTCAACGCCAAAAGAAATAGACAAATGTAGGGTCAAATAAAAAAAAAGATAACAAAAACAATTTAAAATGCCATAACGAGAACGGCCCAAGCGGTTGCAGCCGCTCCCACCGCTGCTACTACATTCCGCAATCCCCTTGTGCTCTCTGCTCCACTCTGCATTAATAATAATAATTCCATATAAATACAAAAAATATCAATATAATGAAAATTAAAATGGATGTAATATTATGCTTATTAATGTACCTTATCTTCGGCGGATGTGGCCGGACCGGGAGACATAGCGTCGGAGCTAGGACCAGGAGCTTCCATCGGTGGTGCAGGTGGGCTGTCAAGTTCAGGAGCCGGAGCCGTTGCATTTTGATGCTTCTTACCCTTGCTTGGAGCCGGAGCCAATACATCGACAGCCGGAGCTGGAGCCGGTGGAGAGCTCACCGGAGCCGCCGAAGCCTTTGGTGAAGGAGACGGAGGAGAGCTCACGGGAACAGGAGCCGGTGGCGGAGACGAGGTTACAGGAGCTGGAGATTTCGGTGCTTCCACGGGTGAGGAGGAGGGAGATTTAGTTGGAGGGGAGACCGGAGATTGGCCACCGACACCGGCGACGACAATGCAGAGCAATGTAATCGTTAGGAGGGAGTTACGTTCCATAATATTTTTTCGTATTTATATCAAAAGAAAAGAAAAAGTTATTGAGTGAAGAATGTAAATGATTTTGATTAATGTTGTTGTGTGTTGGTGTAAGAGATTGTGTTGTGCGTTTAATATATATAGTCGATGAAAAGAGATTCAGACCGTTGATTAGAAAAAGACAGATGTAGTAGCCGTTGAGTGTAGAACCCTGCAAAACATTATTATTATTATATCCTGTAAATAATTAACGTAGGGCCGTTCAATAGCTTTATTTTTGTGTATTTTTTGATGCAGGGTTCACTAGCTTTGTTTTACAATTATTTTATTCTATAATAATTGTGGAAATATTACCACAAAACGATTGTAATGTTCATCATAAAAACAATGTAATCCAATAAAATTACAAAGAAAATCAAGAAAAGGAAAGAATAAAAACAATGTATTTGGCTGAAATGTATAAAAGGAAAGACAAATCATTGATTTGATACCACACACACATAGATCTCCTCTAGCTGTAATATTAAGATTACCCTCATTTACTTTTTTGGCATTATCTATCTTTCTCAAATCTTCTTTTCCTTTTTGTTTTGGTAGAAAATCTTCCTTTCCTAAGATTTATTTCTTTGCATTATTTTAGAAAATTTTACAGCTCACTATGATTGCTGTAACAACTAACACTTTCATTCATTCTATTTCAAAAGATTTAATTTCCTTAATCCTAATCCCATGAGCATTGAGTAATCGATAGATTGAAAATATACAACAATGGAAACAGAATCAAACCGTCGAACCAATGACGAAGACATTTATTGCTTAGGAATTAAGATTTTGCTTTTCTTTTGCTTCTTACCACTTTTTGTGCCATACGTGTTTCAGTGACTAATTTAGTACTAACGTTTACATTATTCCATTACAATTGTTCTAAAGTGAAGACAGTGGACACAAGCCGAAACTTCGAGAGCGGCCTGTCGGTGGTGGAGAACACCCAACCGAGTGGTCGTCCGTTGACTTTCTTATAGGTTTTGACTCTAATCTTAAAAACATTAGTCTTTTTGGATGAACACCAACAATTAAGATTAATTTCAGGATAAACAAGCTTCATATGTTATTAATCACAGTATTGATTGTGAATGCCATCATTTTAGACTAGAAATAGTACAAGGCTTCGCTAAACATAAGCAACACATTCATTCATGTGGACTTGTGATTTGTAAAGAGAAAGTTCATATAATATAGAGATGCATTATTCAAACTGTAAAATAAAGTTATGAGTGATGTCAACCAAAAAAAAGAAGAAAACCTATCAAAGTTATTTTTTTTTTGTTTCGTTTTCTAATAAGACACAAACATATCATAAACCCGAAGATTTATGACTGAAAGACCAGCTTTCTTGCTGCTCAGGTTAGCTTTTACACCTCTTATGATGAAGAAGAAGAGACAAAGATTGTGAAACTCAATCATTGTAAGAGCTAAGCGCGGCGACAACCGATCCGGTTGTTGAAAAAGCCGAGGAAACTTCCGGGTGATCTCTCCACGACGTGTTGATTTTCAAGGACGGGTATAACCAAGACTTAACCGAACCAACAAAGGAATCCGGTTCAACACTAAGTATAGCTTCCCAATCGATCTGTAACCCTTTAGGGATACTCTCAGTAAACTCCATATTAGCAGCTAGCAGAAGTCCTAGTAACACTACAAATCCTGTTACCGCTGTCCCTCGAGCTAACGGCATAAAATTGTACCTGTGGAAAGAAAAACACCAACATGTTCGAGTAATCAGTCGAGACGATAACCATATGTTTAAGTTTGTCATTGTTAAGTTACCAGTAGTATGTCATGCGCAAGATAGCGTCTCTGACGGTTTCTAGTGCGTCGAGGTCGGTAGAACCGTAATTCTCGCCACAGTAGGCAGTGCATAAAGCCTGTGGATTCACATGGAGATTCTTGAGTTTGTTTTCTCGGAAAGAAAAGAACAAAAGGTAAACTATAATGCTTAGGTGGTGTTACCTCCCAAGCAGAGGTCATTTCTTCATCAAAATCACTCCACCTCGCAGGTGTACATGGAGTTCTTATTGCAAAATCATACCCAAGAGTTCCCCTGTATCCAAAGAAACATGAGATATTAGTTCAAGAAAGTGGTAATCAGGGTTTCTGTGAAAATAATTGCGCAGAAGGATAGATTACGGTTTCTTAATGCATGTGATTCTAGTTCCTTCAAGGCGTTTCCTGAAGATAGTAACCAAAAGAGGAAGCATAGTCAAGAAAATAAAATAAAAAACTGCAACGGTGAAGAGAAAGACTTGTGGTTTTATAGTAAAAAACAAACAAAATTTACCCTTCGAATGCGGTACTGTGGCACCAAGTAGCCACCCAGAAATCCTCACCAACAATTTTGTGTAACTCTTCACACGTTTCAGCACGCATTATCTGCATCCCGTTTTGAAATTTCAGTAAGAAAACAATATGAAAAAAAAAAAACGAGAATCATTTACATTCACGCAAGAAGAAAAGAAAGACTGACTTCTTCTATCTTGTCATCTTTAGATAGATCAATCACTTTATCTGCCTTGCTGCGTACACAGAGTTTCTCCTTGATGATGGTCTTAGCAAGATTCAGGGTTCTGCCATAATAGCATATTATGGAAATTGATCATTCCGTGGGATAAAAACAATCCATTAAAAAAATTCTCACGTTCTACGCAAACTTTATATACCTTTCATAATTAGGGAAATATCGTATTACTTTAGCTTGTCCGAGTACCATTGGCGTATGAGAACCAAACCCAGAGTTAAACTCTTCACTGTAAATAGCAGAAGTAATCATATGAAATTAAACTTCACAATTTGAAGTTCTAGTTAAACAGAGACTTAAAAATGGCAAGATGCTGAGCATGTTCTAAGAGTCATTAGATATCAGCTACTTATATAGCATCCGAAATGGAACTTGTACCTTAGTTTGTTAACCCACACAACTGGGTCACAAGGCTCTGAAATTTGTCTCCATCTGACAGCAGAGGAATAAACTTCTTGCCAAGACAACATAGAGCGGCCAGATGATCGATCCTCTAGTGACGCATATCCAGTTGATGTTTCACTGGAAGTGCTCGTACTACATCCGGCACCACCTCTGTTTTGACTAAGCATGTTGATTCTCTCTCTCCTACGGTTTTTCTTCCCATTTTTTGCCGTGCCTTTGTTTGAATTCCTCCACTCTATGCGCCAAGCTTTTGAAACCTTTTGAGCAATTTCTAACACAGCTAATCCTGCCATACGGTGCTGGAGAATCATGGAAACACTAATCAATGGGACATAACTATGATAATTTAGCCAGGAGAGGCTAGATTTCAGGCGTACAATTATATGCATATTCGGGTATAGAAGGGATGTAGATAGATAGATAGATGTTGAAAAATGTAACTGCTCCAAGTTACCTGGCGTCTGTTCGGTAAGAATCCGGGACAGTCATATTGTATTCTCTTGCCAATTAGATCAGTGAAACGAAGAAGATTCGCCTTAGGTTTAGTTATTGCAAGATCTTGCTTTTTCAGTTTACCCTTTTTAAGGGATTCTCGTAGGGGAGGTTGTCTGTAAACTTTTTCACATACATCTTTTGGGTGTAATCTTTTGCACCAGTACTCCTTAAAACCCACAGGAAAAGAAAAATATCACATACAGCACTTGGGTGCAATCATAGTCATCTAATATAGTAAAACCAACTAAATTATGAATTCAGATCTCTAGTTTAACTACTTAATACTTAACAATAAAGTCCCACTTTAATGACATTTATATCGCAGACTGAATATACAAGTTTGTTCCCGTATTATATATGTCACACATTAAGTACTTTTTAGACACTTTAAATTTTCATGGCACATCGTTGGGTCTACTCTATAAACTAATCAGAAAGAGCAGACAGGTAAACAAAGAAAGTGTACAATGTGGAAACATCAGAAATATCGAGAGAGAGGTATATCACCTTGAACATTGGATCAATGTCACCATCAATATCAAAGCAGAAAAACTCACTACTAACTTTAGAAGCCGTGTACAAGGCAAGCTCTTTCTGCGGAATAAAAAAGGATTTCATAACTATTAGTTGCCAAGAAAAAGTTTAGCTCTGCTTACATATGACGGATCCACTATTCAGTACAAATAACCAAGCAGTACTATCAGATAAATAAGGCCAAGCTACTTGGAATATAGCAATGACATATATACTACATTAGAGGTTGCTACAAACAAGAGTGTAAAAAGAAAGTAATCTTGCAAAAAATATTTCACTATTGAGCTTTCAATTTTGAAACCTGATAAAATGCCAAGCATTGCAGAACAAATTTCTCCACTGCATCAAGTTCCACATCCACTGTAGCATCGTAGTCCTTCACCTGTGAGAATATGCAAGTAATAATAAGAGAGTCTCCTTAAAAATTGCAGCCATCAAGTTGACAAACAAATATTTAATTATTTACCGCATCTCTGTACTCTCCTACAGCATGATAGCAGGAACCTCGTAGGTACAAGCACTCTATTGAGCTCTCAATTTTCAAGCCAATAGATAATTCTTGGATGGCCTTCCTGAAAAATCAAAATACCAAAACAACTAAAGGTGAATAATAAGTAATAACACTGTACTAAAGACCAGTCTTGTAGATAACTCCCAAGGTGAATATGACCATCAAAATTCTCGGTTTCCATTAGAACATTCTTTTGCTCAAACGGAGATCTTTTAACACAAGAGCTAGGAGAAGAAAATCTTATCAGACAAAACATTGAGATATACGTGGATCAGTAAGGAGATTTAGGTAACACGCACATTAACGAAGATATATTTTCCTCTTTAACCAAAGTTTCACTATCCAGTGATCTTAGTATACCCTAACTATACATACCTGTGTTCACCTAATCCATGGAACACTAATCCACGCAAGTGATAGGCCTTCCAAACCCTGGTCAAGACAGGAATATTTCCATTACTACGATGACAAAGCCAGAAATACAGTGGACATGTGATAGTTCATCGCAAATAAGAGTTACCTGTTGTCGACTTGTAGAACCTGATCAATGCATTCCAAAGCTTTGCTGTAGTCGGCCAACTCTTGATAGAACT